GGAAGGGAGCTGCTGGGCTCTGATTGCGGGAGGACGCTGCTGGGCTCTGATTGGGGGAGGGGGCTGTTGTGCTCTGATTGGGGGATGTGATTTCTGTTTGGGTCTGCTGTCAGGGAGGAAGGTCCTGGATGAGTTTTGGAGGGGAATTTGTATATTGGTATGCTGGCCTTGCCCCCTCTCTGTGTCAAAGGCTAGGAGGTGAGCTTGGTGAATCACTGCAGTGAATTTTGTCGAGGCTGGGGCTGGAGGGAATAAACATTTAAGACGTTGCCAATGAAACAGGCTGCTTGGTCTTGGATGGTTTCTACCTTCTTGAGTGTTGTTGGAATTGCACCCATCAAAGCAAGTGGAGAGTATTCGATCACACCCCTAACTTATGCCTTGTGATTTGGGAAGTGAGTGATTCATTGCAGAGAACCTTTGCCAAGAGCTCTGGCCAATTCAGCAACTTGGTGTGGCGGGGGTGAGAGTTAAGTATCAATGACAGCTGGTTCCCCCATTAGATGACATACTGCTTCAGTGCATTTTTAGCACTAGGTTACCTGCTTTTGTGGCTTTTAAAGATTATTCTTAAGATCACTCAAAACACCGAGCAAAAAGAGAGCTACAGCTTTTCTGAGTAAATTCAATGAATTCCAATGAGTGAGCTCTTGTGATTATCAATGACGGCCTCATATTGTGTCGCCCTATTCCCTTTGTCATTAATGCAAAGGCATTTCTCGGGTCAATTTGGTAATGTTCTTAAATAATATTATGAGTTGACTGTGAGACAAATTGCAGCAATATATTAGAGATAGTAGGAACTGCAGATGCTGGAGAATCCGAGACAACAAGGTGCAGGGCTGGATGAACACAGCAGGCCAAGCAGCATCATAGGAGCAGAGAGGCTGACGTTTCGGGCCTAGACCCTTCATCAGAAAAGGGGGAGGGGAAGGGGGTTCCGAAATAAATAGGGAGAGAGTGGGAGGCGGATAGAAGAGGGATAGAGAAGAGGATAGGTGGAGAGGAAACAAACAGGTCGAAGAGGCGGGGATGGGGCCAGTAAAGGTGAGTGTAGGTAGGGAGTTAGGAAGGGGATAGGTCAGTCCAGGGAGGACGGACAGGTCAAGGGGGCGGGATGAGGTTGGTCAGTAGGAGATGGAGGTGCGGCTTGAGGTGGGAGGAGGGGATAGGTGGGAGGAAGAACAGGTTAGGGAGGCAGGGACGAGCTGGACTGGTTTTGGGATGCGGTAGGGGGAGGGGAGATTTTGAAACTTGTGAAATCCACATTGATACCATTGGGCTGCAGGGTTCCCAAGCGGAATATGAGTTGCTGTTCCTGCAACCTTCGGGTGGCATCGTTGTGGCACTGCAGGAGGCCCAGGATGGACATGTCGTCTGAG